CCTTCAAAAAGAAAAGGGACAATCACTCCAGTTTTTTTTTCTTTAATTTATGTATCTCTTCCCCAACAGAATGAGCTACTTGCCCTTCTTCTTTGCCTTCCCCCACTGTTTTGTTTGCCCCCTTCCCGCCACCACTCCAGCAGACACGCCAACGCGACGGGAGTCGGAGGGGGCGCCCTCGAGTTTTACTCGGAGGCGCGCCACGCCTTTGCATTCCGTGTCAAGTATTCAATCAAAAAGAAGCACGCCACTGTGTGGGTCGCACACCGGCAAAAGTACGGAATAAAGGAGTCATACATCGCCAACACACCCTCCTCACGGGCAATGCGGGAAATGGCTTGCACGACATTCGTATATTTCACCTTGGCAACTTGTCCTTCGACAGTTTTGGCCTGACGAGCCTCGGACGACATGCGTACACGTGCAATTTCGACTGGCATTGTACAGAAGGCATAGAAGAGGGCTGTGCAAATGCTTGCGGCATTCACGACAATGTTGTCGCCGTACGGTGTCACCTTCTTCCGTTCGGAATATTTGCTGTTTTGGCGACGCAGAAACGTAAGCATTTGGTCGTGCACAGCCACCTGACACACCCCCACAAGGGCCGCACGCGAGGCGAGGGCCCCAATTCCGCGCCAGTACCCAGCAATGCCGTTCGCCGCGTACACCTGTGCCGCCGCACCGCCGATGGAAAGCTTCGTCGCACTTGTTGTCTGCAGCACGAGGCACACCTCAACTGGGGAACTCAAGAAGCTCGCAAAGGCCCCGGAGACGGCTCCAGCAATTGCTCGGTCCCCAACAGTCGGGGCCGCACCCGGGTCGGCGCGTTTCAGGGCCATGATGGCGTCGCGGAAAATAGGGTAGCAGCCAAGGCGTGCTGGGGCGTATACCACCTGACGGAGGAGGCCCGCCGATAGCCCCTTGAAGGCGCCCCGTTCTTGTACCTTCCGCAAGCAGTCCAGCTGCGAGGTGCCGGCCGGCGCCATCATTACTGTGTTCTTCCACATCTCAAACGGGTGTGTCAAGACCCATCCAAGCATGCCGGAAACACCGGCGATGCCAATGGTGCACGACATTGGCAGTGGGGCATTCTTCTGAACCTTTTTCTCTGTCGACATGCTTTTGCAGGACCCGCAACGAACTAACAAGCGTAGGCGGCAAGCTTAGCCTCAAAAAAATCAAATATGCGGAGGCAAGGAAGAAGCAGCAGCAAAAAAAAAGAAAGAAAGAAAAAAGCATACACACACACACAGAGTGCTTCACGCAGCAGCCCTGAAGAACAGCACATGCCCACAGAATAAAAACAAACAAACCAAAGACAATACAAAAAGTCACTTCGTGCACTAGCGCAAAAAAGCCGCACTTCTTCCAGGTGAGCGTGACAAGCAACTTCGCAGCTTTCATGAAAAGTAACTTCACCAGTTCCCTTGTACAACCAGAAAACGAAGCACACGCAAAAACACAATGCCGTCCCTATTCATGGAGATGCGAGCACATAAAAATGCACGTAAAAAAAATGCAATCATTGACATGCTTCTCTGTTTGCCTTTTTGTTTGTTCGCTTTCTTATTGGCGTGAGTGAGAAAGAGGGAGCTATCTGTCTGTGTCTCCCCCGCCCACTCAGCGCGCGGAAAACGGAGGCCGAAAGAAAGCTCCTAACCCAATCCACTTTTACCTCCACGTGCCGCAAGAGTGTTTTTTCCTCGATAGCCTTCCTGCTGGAGAACAACCCGTTGTCGCAGAGTTCCCCGCCAGTGATCATGCAGCTGCGTTGCCGTCCGAGCAGGGTGCCACACACCACGGTAGGCATAAAGTATACTTTCAAACCTTCCAGGCCCCTTCCCAAATCGCGCCACGCCCTGCAGTATTGCGTCGTCCTCCTCAGGGGTGAACTTGTGCCGTCGCTGCTTCGGCCGCGGCTCTGCGGCGACAACGCCACACGCCGAACCCACTTGGGTTCCCAAATCTCGTCCTCCCGCAGAATTCTGGGAGGCAGGCACCCCGCGTTCTCCGTGACGCACCAAGCCCGCCACTGCATCAAAGGAAGTTAATGCACAAGTGGAACCGGGTACTGCGGGCATACGCGCCAAGACCTCCAGCGCATCGCTGCACCCGTTCTCACCGTCACCGTCGGCGGCCCCAGGAGAACGAACTTTTGAATTAACAACGGCAGTTGCCTCCACCGCAAGAGCAGCGCAAATTGCCTCCGGATCATCCGATTCACGTGCACGCTTCAACGCCTTAAACCCAATGGTGGCCAGAGGGTTAGATGCTTCTTGTGGCTGGCTTCTTCTTTCATCGCGGCTTCGGAAATGTTCTTGTAGTACGGCGCACACCTCCTCAAGCTTCACCTGCGCCTCTGCAGCCGGCAAAGACGCGCCCACAGCAATCTTCTTGTCGCCGTTTCCGCCGTTGTTGTTGCTATTGTTTTCCTTGACGAAATCCGTTTCCAACTGACCAATGACCCGGGAAAGCAGAGCGTCCTCACCGCGTATGCGTTGAAGCATAGCGTACAGCTCGTTTGCTGTCAGTGGGTCGTGGTTTAAGTTCTGGATGCCCTCGGTTCCAGCGGAGCTGGTCTCCTGAGCAGGAGGTGCTTCTATCCCACGGACCTCTAACGAAGAAGCGATCACTGCAGACGCAATCCCATCATGGTACGTGCACGTCTGCCAAAAAGCCGAATCCTCGTGAATCACACTGAGGGCCAGTAGCCCCAAAACTGCAAAGTGGTTTCCGCGGCGTATGTGACCACGGATGATCTCATGCAGCACTGTAAAATCCATCAGCGGCGGGGTTGTAGAGGTAGAGCAGCGCGTGTGTGACATACGCCTACGATATGGATAGTGAAGCAACCCCACCGGCGGGGGAAAAGAAAAAACAATACGAACACACGCGAGAGGAAAAGGGCTGTAGCACAAAGACGCGGTCCCCGCTGTTTTTTTTTGTATGCTTGTTTCTTTCTTAGTTATGTGAGTGTTTTCCTTCCCTTCTATTCTTGTTTTTTTTATTCCTTTGCTTCTCTCCTTTCTCGGGCAAATGTATCTTCCTCGTTCGTTCCCTGTGCAAGGAACGTACTCTCTATGCGTATACGCAGCAAGAGGGAAGCCAACCCCCTCCCACTCCCCCTCCAACTGGTCCTTCCTTCGACGCAAGATGCAGCAAGCGGGAGAAAATGACGGAAAGCAAGGCATGCGTCGTTTTTGTTCGCGTCTTTGAGTCCAGTTTTTCATGCTTCACAAACTCCCATTCCTTTGCTATATATATATATATATATTTATATATTTATCGTTTTGTTTCACGGGGTGAGTTTCATTCCCACTGTGCGCGTCCCTTGCAGTCTCGGTTGTTGTTCTTGGTTGGCTCGCAGAGCCTCGCCCGCCCTCCCACCGCCTACGCCACGCACACCGCAAGAGGCAAGCAGGCACCACTCACAGATACATCATGAAAAACAAAAACAACAATGACACAAAAACAAAAACAAAGGGCGACGCACCGCAACATGACCCTCTCGGCAGGGCTGCCCACACGCTGTGACAGCCACATGTTGCCCTTTCGCGGGGGTGCGGCTAATCCACTGTGAAGATGTGTCTATTGCGCAGCGGGAGCTCAGCCATGCGCTCGCCAAGCTTCACCGCCAACTCCTCCTGCCGCCTCGCAGCTTCCGCCTGTTTCCTCAAACGCTCTGCCTCACGGCGTGCTTCACGATCCGCCATAAGCGTCTTCTCTCGCTCCTCGTCCTCCCTCACCTCAATGCGTCGGTGCATATCGCTTTTCCATGCCTCCTGCCTCTGCTGCAGCAACTCCAACTCCGCGGTGTGCCTCGCTGAGCTCGTCGCATCTTCGACGCCTGCCGATGTCAGCGGCACCGTGGGCGTGGGCTTTGAAACTGGAGCTGCTTCCTCAGACGCAACGGGCCCCTCCGCTTCTGTCTCTCGTCGGGGCTCATGCTCAACCTCTTTGGAGACGCCTTCAACAGGGGTTTCACGTTTCTTTTCCTGCGGGGCAGGCTCTGTTTTGCCAGCTCCCGCCTCTGGCTTCTCGGCCTCCGCGGCGGCCCTTTCCCGCTCACGTCTAGCTGCCTGCACCTTTTCCATCATGACGCGTGCCCGATCCTGGTCCCCAATGCAGGAAACCTGCGGAACAGACGGCGTCTCCGCCGCCGGGGGAGGTGCCGCTTCCGGCGGCGCGGCAGGCATGGAGGTCGGCTCCGCATTGCCGACAGAACCCGCGGTGGCAGAGTCCTGAGCGGAAGCACCAGCACGCCCATCGAAGGCGTCTCGTGTGTCCTTCACCTCCGATGCGGATGGTTCTCTTGCGGCACGCAATTCCTGCCGCATCTCCTCCGCGGTGACTCCTGATGGCGCCGGAGGCACGACGCGCAGCACCAACGTGAGCAGTGATTTCTTTTTCTCAAACTTCGCCTCCAAAGGTGTCGACTCGACGGAGAACGGGAGCGTCAGCGTCCCATAATAAGGATGCGTAGAAGCCTTCGCGATGATGACGTAGGTGCTTTCCACCTCAATGTTAAGCTCTGACGCGGCCTGCACGCCGGTAAACTCCATTTTTACGACGAGAGCCTCGGGAACGCCAATGCGCCGGTCCACTATTTTCCATCCCCAGGTGTCAGAGAGGTCAATATGTCCCCGGTGAGCAATGCTACAGTGCGGCAGATGCTGTGTCTTCTCCACCTTCTGACTAGAGGCCGCTGTTGCTCCTGTCGACACTCCACCAGCCTCAATGTCCTTCTTACCCGGCGTCGCTTTCCCGTTCCCCTCCGTGCTGGGCAAAGGCGGGAGTACTTTCGTCGGTTGCGTCAACGCCGGCTCATTCATTGCAGCCGCGAAAGGTGACTTCCCCTTCTCTCGGCTGATCGTCTGATTCTGTGGGGTTCCCACGGCCCGGATGCGGCTCGGCAAGCGACGGAACTCGAAACCATGGCGATCACCATAGCCGCTGTTGATGTGTTCCACGGCAATGTTCACAAGAAAACAACAAAAACGATCGCTGCGATCTGCAAGCTGTAGCGTGTCCGGGTGAAATACGGCGTCATATACGACGACTGTGCCTGCCTTGTCCTCATCCTCCGGAGGTTGTTTTTCTTCCACCTTCACCGGGGCCACGACGTCTTCGGAGAACAACTCGGTCCTCGGTTTTGACACAGAGACGGGCACGAGCCAGTTGCTCTTTTGCTTATCGCCCGTGGACTGCTCAGAGAAGGCGTCGATCTTCTCGCTACTGCACATGTTCACATAAACTTTGGGGGTCTGCCGCCTCGTTTTGTCCACTGCCTTGAGTGATGGGTGCGTCACGCGGTACGAGGTCGCAGGCTCCAGCAGCTCCACCACAAACCCCGGTGTGGGGAAGACGAAGTCAAAGCTGTAATCGCCGCCCGCCTTTGCCTCGCGCTCGACCTGCTGCAGGTAGGCCTCCTCCTCGCGGCGTGTCTCGGGGTCCTCCATCGACTTCATGTAGTCCTGGAAAAGCTCCACAAACTTGGGGTCCTTCATCTTCTCCCGGATGGTGCGCAGCTCCTCGGGGGTTGGGGCGAACTTCTCCCCCGCCTGCGCGTCCCTTCCGGACAGGTGGATCGTCTCTAGCGGCATCCGCCCGCCGCCCTCGGAGGCGAGAGGTAAGGAATTATTATACTTAAAGCTTACCAAAAAAAAATACTGGTAATAATGCTGCTAATAATAAAGACCGCTACCGTGGGAAGACTGGCGATGATGGGGGGAAAATGCGAAAAAACAAACAAACAAACAAAGGGGGTAACTAAATCGCTTACCGAGCATGAGGGAGAAGACAAGAACCGGCATCAACGGCAGTGCCCGCGTGTACGCATACGCTTCGCAGCTTCCGGGAGGAACTCGGCACATTGCTAAGAGAAAATACACTAGAAAAAGGAGGCAGGCGGTTGTTGCTCCGCAGAGCTAATTTCCCACTATACAGTTAATGGGTCAATACCAAGAAAACCAAAAATAAAAATAAAAATAAAGGAAGGAAAATCATTATGTATTTGCTTTTTTTTAAAGATTTGTTAGCCATACAATATGTAAAATGACTTCATAAGACGATGGCGCAGTAAAAACACTCAGCGCCATTCCACAAGCAAGAGGTGAATTCAACCTTAAATTGCGGGGAGAGAATGAAACAGAGGAAGTTGCAAACATAAAAAAAAAAAACAGGAGTTTTTAAGCTTCATTTCCTCAGAGGCTAACGTTGAATTTCGTTTTGATTGCTATCCGTACCAAAATGCATGTTTTGTAGGTACACCGTTTTAATAATCAGTTTTGTCTTCGCTTGCGCTTCTATGTGACGGCCCCCACGACCTCCGTACAGTGGGCGCGAGCTCCTTGCCCTGGTAACTAGTCCCCACAGGCGTTCATGATATATATACAAGCACTCGCATAAAAAAAAGGCCATAGGTGAAAAAAGGAAAAATAAAAATAAAAATAAAAAAATGGTCTGTCATCGAAGAGTGCCTCGGCTGATACTTCACATTACACTTTTTTTTTTTGCTTTTTTGAGGGGCAAATCCGCCGACACTCTCGCTCCCCCGCCGGGGTCACTGGAGCCCAAACTCCTGGCATCCTTGCTGGGCCTACCAGTAACGCCATGCCGGGCCTCATACTCCTCGCCTTTTTGTTAAGCTGCGTTGTAGAAATCGTGGAGACGTTCGAGGAGATACCGAGGCCGAACGCAGCGTCGCCACCCCCCTCCTAAATGAACGGCACCTATGGGACTTGGCACCTTGTCCCTGCTGGGCCGCGTAATTGAGGGCAGAACCCGCCACGCATGCCGCCGGGGCTCCATTCCGATCCACCGTTCCTGAGCTTTCCTGGGCTTGGGCTTGCCCCTCCTCCGCGTGCGCTGGCTGCTCACCTCCGCGCCGGGCGCCTTGCGACTCCTCCGCGCGTCCAGATAAGGGATGCGCCTTCGACAACTTGCTCGCAAACTCGTTGTCGTGTCGCAAGGACTTACTGCGAAGTTTCCCCCGTCGTAAACGTGAGGCACGAGGAGAACGGCCAGGAGTGGGCTGAGATGAGGGAGGGCGCACCTGCGCCGCCAGGCCAGGCGGTGGCGCACTCCGCCCAGTGGCGTCCCCCATTGGCGCTTCTACTTCAACAGTGCTGTCCAAAGTGCTTTCCACACCCTGTTGCCTCGCCTTAGTTGTTTCCGCTTCCTCTTCCTTTTCAGTTCCAGGATTACGAGACGCCTCTTCCTGCGCCTCGGGTTCAGGATGCAGGCCCAGCCTCTCCGCTGGCAAATTCTGTGGCTTTGGGACCTCCCAGGACCACAGCTCCGTCGATGAGCCCTTGACATTTCCGCCGAGCTGTTTGGCTGGCAACTCTCGCGCGGAAGCCAAGGACTCTGGAGACGTGCTCGACCGTGGTTGGGACGCCGACACCACAAAGTTGGCAGTGACAGGGAGACTTGTATTCGCCTCCAGAGTCTGAGCCTTCTGCGCCCGTGCTGTGCTAGGGTAATGTGGAGAAATAAATAAGTTATGCCGTATACGGTGCGACACAACTTCTACGCCACTTGATGCCTTCATAGTCTGGTGCTCGCCCCAAACCTGGCGCCGAGAACTGCCATTTCTTAAAGTGTGAGACTGCGGCTTTCTTGGACCTTTTGCATTCGCTGGGCTTCTCTTACGCTTTGGCAGCGACACTGACGATGTGGGAGTCGGAGTTGCATCAGTGGCAGTACCATCCCCATCACCTATATCAATGGGGCTGAATGTCCTTAACTCGGGAATGTGTTTGGTGTGCATCCATTTCTTCGATTCCATACTTCTCTTCAGGTGAGCCTCCGCATTACATACATGAGGCGGTTCATCTATCAAACAAGGCTCATTCTCATCCTTGTCCGTGTCCTCGGCGGATGCTTCCATGAACCTGTTCAGTCCGACTGGAGTCCCGTTTGCCACAGCACTATCAGTGTTTTCCGTCTCAACGTCGTCGTAGGAAGTGAGACTGGTGGAGTCGCTGCTTCCCTCATCAATTGGCGTGGGGATTTTTTTCTGTGGCGTTTGCCGCGGACATGTCGACTCTCGCTCCGGCGGCGAAACATCTAACGGCAAATTCGTCGACAGGATCGCGTCCTCTGGGAGCAAAAGCGTCGGCCAGGTGCGCTGCGGCGGGTGCACGGCGCCGGCGCCGGACCTCCGCCTCTCCTCGAGGAGGGGGTCGACAAAGCATTTGGTCGTGGTCAGGGAACACGGCGAGGAAACCGGGGTGGCGCCGTCGAGGCTCCAGTCGTCTTCAACGTCGGGGGCAGACGGCGACGTCCCCGTCACGCTGCAGTACGTCTCAAACGACGTGAAGGCACGAGACAAGTCCCTCAACGGCGCCTCATCGCTCTCCAGAAAACTATTTTCGGTCAGCCACATCCTCGCCAGCTGCCACCGCTCCGCGTCCTTGTTTGTGTCCGCGGCGCCGGGCAAGACGAGTCCCCAGCAGGGCGTGGTGGTGCACCCCGCCGGCGCAGTTGCCCGCGGCACACCGTCGCCTCCCATGCACCGCCCATAGACAACCGTGTTTTCCACCGCATACAAAGGCATGAAGTCGCGTCGCGGGGCACTCCGCAGCAGGACGCCCACGACGGGGCTCTGACTGGCGGGCTGCTCCGCAAGGGGCAAGCCGAGAACGCAGCGAGACATCGTCATCGCACTTCGCTCTCCCAGCAGGACGTGACAAACCCCAAGATCTTTTGTAGCTTCACAGACACTGGAAGAAAAAGCAATGTCGGAGACTTTCGTCAACTCCTCACACTCTACTAGGTTCTCGGCGTCGCTCCAAAACAGCTCACATGAACGCAACGATAGGTAGGAAGTATCAAGCTCCACCACAATACATCTGCCAATCGCCTCTAAACTCGCAGAGGCGCAGCCGAGGAAGAGGCAATCCTGAGCCAAGCAGCGTCCATGCTCTGAGAGGAGGAGGACGCTCCGTCCCTGGCGTGCCAGTTTAAGCGAGGAGCCGTGGATCTCGAGGGTTCCCTTATCCTTTACCCACACACCGGCGCCATTTTGCTCAAAGAAGCAGCGGGAAAGGCTAGCGTTGCTATTCCCCCCCACAATAAGACCGTGACCGCCGCAGCAAACAACAGACGTGCATTCCGCCTCCAGTGCGGCGTTACCAGACAATGCCAGCGCCGTGGACTCCACACCTGGACCAGTAAACGTACAGTTTGCAAGCTGCACACGCGTTCGCCCCAGCGCTCTCAGGGCAGGCACCTCATGACTACCCACAGCCCCCCCAGTTCCGCAACGGTGCCTAAATTCACACTTTGAAAAGGTACAGATACCGTCCAGTGCAAGATGCACACTTGCAAATCCAGACGACATTGGTGACCCCACCGCAGCATCGAAACCTACAGAAGCTCCAAAAACGCAATGTGAAAAAAAGGCCGGGCCTTTTCCCACCAACTCTACACGGTCCATGAACCAGACCCCATGAAACCCAATAGGGGCACAGGAAGTAATCTTGAGCGGCTGATCAAAGATGAGCCTGGAGGAGCCTCCACCTTTTTTGCCATGGCCATCATCCCCAGCGTCAGCTTTCGCTAAAGCGGCTGCATGCTTCATGTGATTTGTGGCACTGATTAAGCATGAAGCGCCATTTTCAATACTTGGGCACCGTAGATACCCAGAGGCAAAGAAAGAAGAAGGTTCTCCGGGCGGGAGTTGCTGTAGCGCAGGCAGCAACGTGTCAGACGTTACCTCCGTTGCAGACCACCTTGAGGCCTCACGCATAAATGCCGTGAGTTCCGCCTGCAAGAGAGACGACTCTCCGGATGCACCCTTGCCGGCTTCCTTGCTGCCGCGTCCCATTTCTATCTTGCCCGAGACCTGGAGGCAGCGCTAATCAGGTGTAACGCTCATAGACCCAGACAAAAAAAAAAAAGTGGGTTAAATTCAAAAAAAAAAGCAGAAAAATAAGGATGAGGACTGGGGAGGAGGGAAGCGCAAGAAGAAACGAAAAAAAAAACGAGTAAGGCCACATGGCACGCATGCACATCCTTCTTGCTGTCAATGGCGGCAACCACCAGCGACGCGTGTCCCCAGCCAAAAGCGTCATCGCCCAGCACGCTTCCCCACCCCCCTCCAACCACCAACTTGACATTGTCCATGCTTCGTTTCCCATTATTATTCTTTTTTTTTCTCCAGCGTTTTTTTTTTTCACGCATCGGGTGGAAAGTGTTGATGCCGGAGATTTACCCGACGTTCCGCCACAATGGCGGCCACCTCCTTTAAATCCGTGGAGGAATACGGGGAGTCAGCCTCCGGGACAAAACCCCACTGCAGCTGCCATGCAGCCCGACCTTCTGGGGAGGTCACAGACATGCCACCACCAGCACTCCTCGAGCCATGCGGGTGCGGGCGGGTCGTAGGAGACGCGTAGCAGAGGGTGAGCTGCTCCCCCTTCTGTATCTCGCGGATACTAAAGGTGTGCAGAAACGGCTCGCACACCAAGTCGGAAGGAACGCCAGCCAAAAGATTGTCAAAGACGTCAATTCCACATAAAGTCTCTTCCGTCGCCATTGTGTAGTAGCAATTGGGCTCCGGCTGGTGATTAAGCTTGTCCACCAGCGGAATCAGGGTGGCGGCGCCAGCACGCCGCGAGAGCACCAAACTCACCCACCATGCATACTCCTCTTTGGACAGGCGCTGACGCAAGTAGGCACTCAACGGCAAGCCCTGCATGTCGTCATGAAAATACTCCCACAACTCAAGTGCAGGGCTCTTGCTACTCTCACCGGGGCCTTCCCCCTCCGCCCCCAAGAACGTTGTTGCCTTGCCCGCCTCTAGTATCTGGGTGATCTCCTCCCGCGCCAAAAACGGCAGATTGTTGCTCGGTATCACCGACTTCTTCAGGTAGTTGACGTAGCCCGCGTGGGAGGGGCGCCACTCCTCGCTTGAGACCTCGTCCCCCGCCACCACCAACTGCCCCACCAGATCCTCCACGTACATGAAAAAGGACGTTATAGGATCACTGGCAGGCGGCGGCTGCGCAAAGAAGAGAGCTTCCACAGGTAAGCTGAGGAGATATACACCAGGCGGAATACGCTGCGTGGCCACAAAGGAACTTCCACGCGCCCCACCCTTCCGCCGCGGAGTCGCCAACGTGAGAAAAGGCGAGACGACCGCCTTCAGATCTTCAATAGCACTCCGCACAAACAAGACATCATCCATGCTGGTGGGCAACGCAGAAGTGGCACCAGGCTGTGAAAGACAATGTTCCCCACGCCACCAACGTCGCCGTGCGGCTCTCGTCAAACCGCTTCGCCAGCGACGCAACGCAGCGGCCCCCATACCAAGCTCACGACAAAAAAAGTCTGCCACAGCTTCGCCATCTTCTGCAGTAGAAACAGCCAGCGGGGGAAACAAGTGAGACGAAGTTCCGTGGCCCTCCCCCACGACGCCGGATCCCACACCAGCGGCGTCCCTGTAGATCTGGGCAATGGTAGGCAATGAGCAGTGTAGATTACGAAGAAGCAGCGACGGAGCGGAGCGAGGCATCCCTCACCTCATCTCTCTCGTACACAGCAAGCCCTACGGCTCCCACCCCCACTGTCACGCGGCCTCAGCCAACCTGTCCTCGAGCAATAAAAGCCTAGCAGCGAAAACCAGATACGCAAATAATATAAAAAAGAAAAAGCAAGAAACGGCAATCCATGCCGACATGAAGTCGTGACAAGGAGGAGTCGAACACCAGTGTGTAAGAAGAGAGGCATAACATATGTGCAACGAAAACGAAAAAAAAAAAAACAAGAACAAAAAGAGAGAGAACAGAAAACGACGCTTGCAACAAGTGTTATGCTTGCATCTTGGAATCCAACGTCGGAGTGTGTGCAGATGCGACCCTCTCCGCCCCCCCCCCCCCCCACGCCACGCAGAACGCACACACACGCTCGCACC